ACCGGTGACTTGGGTACCATAAAATTATCCCAAGTGACGACTCTGAATTTAATAAATAAATAATCTCATTTCGATTGTCACATAAAGTTGGAAAAACTCCCTTATACCCCTTTCGGAGGGTGTAGGAAAAAGGAGGTGTAACAATGTGTATTTAAGAAAGTCATGAAACGACTTTCCAATCAACTTTACGAAAATTCTTTTTGAGATCTGTTGCATCTCATTCGTGTATACAATATAGTTCCAAAAAATACTAGCTCTTAGGAGTTATATGGCATCTGTAGGCATACACAGTTTCATTTCTCCAAAGCTCTTGATGATATCTTTTCTTCCCCATCCCAAATAAGTTGACTTGATAATAGTTCTACACCTAAGCTCTGGCTCATACGGATTTTTCATACTTCGATCCACCGTTACATGTTTCGTCACGATTGCGTATGTTGAAAGATTGTCAAGAGAATCGGCTCAGGTATGTTAAGGCTATCCCTTCATTCTTTTGTCATGATTTATACTTCACAAATAAAACAAGCAAATGCACAATTTCCATAAATGACTCTATTCATAGAAATACTAGAGATGCTTATGTTCTTGATTTCCTATGTGTCATATTATTCTATCATCTATTCATGGGTCTCAGAAAAATACATAAGTTGAAAAAACGTTTACTTCATGACATTACTCAAAGGCATAATGGTCTTATGATATTCCAAGATATTTATTGACGTACTTCTCATGCATTGCATTTATGTACATTGACCCATGACCAGACAGCGTTATATACGCATATATATGTATATAGACGTATATGGGATATAGGAAAAGGTTATGGCATTATATACGCACCACCACCTGATCAGCTGGTATACAATGATGATGTTGTCCACAGTGGCTGAAATATGACTCAGACGACGTTATATACGCGTATATATGTATATATATATATATATATGTATATGAGATATGGGAAAAGGTTACGGGGTTATATACGCACCACCACCTGATCAGTTGGTATACGTTGATGATGTTGCCCACAGTGGCCGAGATGATATGATGGGATTCCCTCAGAGGCTTGATGATGTTATTTACGTACATACCTATGAATCACATGATATTCATACGCATATGCATGACATTATAAATATTTCATGATTTACAGAGCTATCCACACTTACAGGATGAATTGTCTACTCCATGTTTCTTCCATGTCCTTAATTAATGTTGACTTATTGTTATGTTTCAGCTCCGCCTTACATACTCGGTACATTATTCGTACTGATGTCCTTTTGTTGGGGACGTTGCATTCATGCCTGCAGGTATAGACAATCAGTTTGACGAGCCCTCACAGTAGACGAGATTTGCATTCAACGAAGGATCGGTAAGACTCCACTACATTCAGAGTGGAGCCGAGTCTATGAGTCATCGTGTCAGAATTTTTTTTACAGGCTTATGGGTAGGCCGGTACCCTGTCCCATTTGATGTTGAATGATCTTAGAGGCTTTGTAGACAGAGGTTCAGTTTGTACAATATGTCAGAGGCCTTGACGACCCATATGTATTCATGTTTTAAAAAAAATAGTTCAGTAATATAGTGTTGCCTACCTATAGTTATCCATTACGAGTTGTGGCCATGTTAGCCCATGGTAGTTACAAAACAAAAGAAAAAAAGGAAGTTGCAGAGTGATTCACTCGGGCCAGTGCGGCACCGGGTGCCAGCCGCGCCTCCCCAAGTTTGGGGCGTGACAGCTAACCAGACGGACTAGAGTGTCCTGAAGTATGGGAGTGGCTATAAACCTCTACGGGACCTGAGCTGGTCTAACTTGTGTAGTTTGAGTAGAAGGGTCCTCCTCCTGCTCGATTTGAGGATCTGTAATAGGTGTTACTCCGCGCGCTCTAGGTTGAGCTCTGCCTCGGCTCTTAACTCGGCCCCAGCCTCTACCCTTGGTGATGGCTGCAGCCTGGGGTCCATTGTGGATGTTGTGCGTGTCCTCATCATCTTTAAGAGAACAAGAATAGAATAATTTAAACTCAATGATAGAATAAAATCGCACGACAGAGAAGGAAAGAAGTGAAATTTTCCTAAATCCCTATAGTTTCTAGAAGATAAGTACAAACGTCTCCATACCGATCCTCCATACCCTACTAAACTTGTGAGACCTAGATAACCTGGTGCTCTAATACCAACTTGTCACGACCCGAAATCCCAACCGCAAGTCCGTGATGGCACCTAACGTCCACTTACTTGGCAAGCCAACTTAGTACATAACAAATCATTTTTAAACTAATTCAAAAGCAATTTAATAAGAAATAAAGCTGTAAAAATTCAAAATAGATATAATACCTTCAAACGCTGACTAATCAAATTTCAAAATCTGGTGTCACAAGTACATGAGCATAGTAGAAGTGCTACAACCAATGTCTGAATGAAAATACAATTATTTGAAACAAAATAAACTGTAAAACTAGATTAAAAAAAGGGGACTTCAGGGACTACAATCGCCATGCAGCTCTACCTAGAGTCTCCATGAAAAGCTTATCCGACTGAGTCTCCTCTAACTGATGCTGGGACCAACACCAGAATTTGCATAAGAAGTACAGAAGTGTAGTATGAGTACAACCGACCCCATATACTCCATAAGTACCGAGTGTGACGATCTGGTCAGTTGTCTCATGAGTTACCGCTCCATTTTCTCTATTTCTTCTTCTTTATGCTTTGTTTATCCGTGTTATGTGGTATCGGGTGGGTCAGATCGAATCCGGAATGATTTTGGTAAGATTTGAGACACTTAGTCTCTTTTGAGGAAGCTTAAGTTGGAAAAGTCAACTGGATGTTGACTTATATGTTAGAGGGCTCAGATGTGAGTTCTGATGGTTTGGATAGCTTCGGGAGATGATTTGGGACTTAGAAGCGCGATCGGGATAAGTTTTGAAGGTTCAGAGTAGATTTAGGCTTGAATTGGCGAAGTTGATATTTTGGCGATTTCCGGTTGGTAGGCGAGATTTTGATATAGGGGTCGGAATGGATTTTCGAGAGTTGCAAAAGCTCCATTGTGTCATTTGGGATGTGTGTGCAAAATTTTAGGTCATTCAGACGTGGTTTGGTTGGGTTTTTGATCGAAAACATAATTTAAGAGTTTTTGGAGTTCTTAGGCTTGAATCCTATGTTAAATTGGTGTTTTGATGTTGTTGTTAGCATTCCAAAGATTTAAACAAGTTTGAATGATGTCATGGGATGTGTTGGTACATTTGGTTTGAAGCCCCGGGGGCTCGGGTGAGTTTCGGGTAGGTTCTGGGATGTTTTAGGCCAAAAACATAGTTGTTGCAGGTTCAGAGAGGTTGCAAACACTAGTGCGGTCCACAAAGGATTTTGTGCGGCCGCGGTGGGGGCTTTGCAGCCACACTCAATTTTGTCCGGTCCGCGGTGAGAAAGGTTTCACTGGTCTGACTTCGGAAGCTTATATCTTTTGATCTAGAAGGAATTTGATGATCATTCAAAAACAAAAATTGTAGAGCTTTGAATCTAGTTTTGAGAAACATATTATAATAGCCATTTGGAAATCTGTAGCGAAGGTTATGGCCGAAATACCAAAGCCGGTCACTGCAGTCAAATCCACCGCGGTCAGCACTGGTTTTTGTGCGGTCAGCGGTGCTCCACCGCGGTCCACACTTGATTTTGTGCGGTCAGTAGTGGTAGAAATCCGGGAGGTGCTCTATAAATACGAGGTTTAGGGTTTTATTTTATATTTTGACCTAGAGAGCTCGAATTTTGGCGATTTTTCGAAGGTTTTTGAAGAAATTCATCGGGGTAAGTGATTCTAATTCAGATTTGGCTAGAGTACATGAATCTATCATTGAATTCATCATTTGATTCATTATTTGGGATGAAATTTGGGAAGAAAATCTGTGAAACCTTTCAAAAATGTAAAATGATGATTTGAAGGACCAAATGGTATCGGAATTGGATATTTTTGAGTGGGCTTTGTTCCCTTAATATATTTTGATGGTTTTGTACTGATTTAGGTTAGATTTGGAGCATCCGGAGGCCGATTAGAGAGGCAAGGGCATCACAGGATAGAGTTCGAACTGCATAGAGGTAAGTAATGATTGTAAATGTTGTCCCGAGGGTATGAAACCTTGAATTTCATATCGTTGTGCTACTTTGAGGTGACACACACGCTAGATGACGAGCGTGGGGTGTGCACCATTGGGTATTTTGACTTAGTCCGTCCAGTATGACTTTTAAATCGCGTATTTGATTGAAAACTATTTGATATCATTGTGTTTTGGAAAGTATTATCATGTTTTGGACTGAATGCCATATTTGGGCCTTGTGCCAACTGTTTTGGACCCTTAGGGGATTTTTACTACTATTCCTCACTGTTTTGACTTCATATTTGTACTCAGTCATGTTGTATTCTACTGTTTTCATAACTCAGCCATATTTACTCCGTTTTGATATTTTAAATGATATTTTGGGTTGAGCATCATGTTTTACTATTGCCCGAGTGGCATGAGAGATTTCTGATAGAGTGAGGCCGAGGGCTTGTGTTGTGAGGATATTATGGGATCGGGCTGCGCGCCGTAGCAATGTTATATTAATTCATGATTTTGAGGCCGAGGGCCTGATTTGTTACGCCACGAGGTGGCTTGTTGATATGAGGCCGAGAGCCTATTTGATTATGCCACAAGAAGGCTTGTTATTGCGCTTGGGCCGTAAGGGGCCCCTCCAGGAATCTGTACACCCCCAGTGAGCGCGGGTACCCAGTGAGAGTGATATGATGTAGCCCGATGGATTGTTGTTGTTTCATGTTATTACCCGAGGGGCGGTTCTTTATTCATGTTATGCCCGAGCAGCTGATTACGAGTGATTGTGAGGTAGTCCAAAAGGTTGGTTCTGTTCATATTATGCCCGAGGGGCGGTTTATGATACATGTTTTGCCCGAGGGATTGTTTATGTTTCTACCCTTTTCTCACTATTTTCATCACTCGTTTGAAACTATTGAAAGATGTTTTAAAAGGAAATAGTTTTATTGAAACTGAGTTATTTTACGAGAAAATGGTTTCTGTACTGTTTTTGAGAAATATACAGTATTTGTTGTAGTGCTATGATGGAAAATTATGTGTTTTCTTTCTGCTCAGCTTTCATTTACTTTTATTACTTTTTGAGTTGGCGTACTCACATTACTCCCTGCACCATGTGTGCAGATCCAGCAGTTGCGGGTCACGATAGTGAGCATTTATTGTCCATTCAGCAGGATTTCGGAGTCGACAAGGCAGCTGCATGGCGTTCGCAGCCCTGTTCTTCTCCCTCCTATCTTCCCTAGCTTTAGTTAGTATGGTCTTCCAGTCTTGTTTAGACTTTATTGAATTGAGACAGAGATGTAGTTTCTCATGACTTGTGACACCCCGATGTCGGGCTTGTATGTTTGTTCTGCACTGGTTATTTAGACATATACTATAAGATTTCTTGTTGATTAATGGCATAAAAATGAGTGTTATAGAAAAATGGTTAGATTTAGGAATTGTGTCGGCTGACCTGGTTCCACGATAGGCGCTATCATGACCGGATCAGTTTTAGGGTCGTCACACCGAGTCTAACCTCGACGAAGTAGTAACAAGGCTATAACAAGGCACTCACTATAAACCTGTACGAATATAAATGAAATAATAGCAGGAATAGAGAAAGTAAGAATTTAACATAAAATCGGAACTGAAAAGCATAACAGAGGGCCCTAAAATAACACTTGTACTCAACTTCTGAATTCAACACGGATACAGTAACAACAATTAAACATAATAAAATATATCTTCTCTGTTGCAGCGTGCAACCCGATCCACAAATATATATACATGACAAATCTTTTATGTTGAGGCGCGCAATATATATATATATATTCATTACAGTGTGCAATCCGATCCCACACAATAATATCAATAATTATTGCAGTGAGCAACTGGATCCGACACAATAATAATATAAATGGACAACCTTAACCAACTATGACGTATCTCAAATAAAACACAATAAGATAATTAAAGAACTAAACAAGGTTATAAAACAAGTAAAAGCAGTTAATAAATAAAGACATGGATACATGAAAACAATTAGCAACTTAAGGCACGCAATGGATAAAAAGGCATAAATTTAACAAGTAAGGGCAAGTAACAATTAGAGCATTTAATAAGTAATAACATGGAATAAATGAAAATAAAAAATGATTGAAGACAATAAATAAATATCCCAGCCCCAGTGCTTCACCCGTAACTATGCATATACACTCGTCACTTTGCATATACGCCTTCCCCACATATAAATCAAGTAACAATTAACCAGTCAAGTTCTAATTCTCTCAAGTCAAGGTTAACTACGGCACTTACCTTTTCCTGCAACCAAATCAATGATCAACCACGACTTTTTCTTAGAATTAGCCTGCAAACCAATCAAATCTAGCCAAATATAGTTTAAATAATTCAAAATAAGCTTTAGAAACTACCTACGAGTGAAAAAGATTCAATCTTTAATGAAATAAAAAAAAGTCAACAAAAGTTAACCCCGGGTCGGCTTGGTTAAAACTCGAGATTCGGACCAAAGCCCGATTACCCATTCACCCCAAGCCCGTTATGCAATTTATTTCAAAATCCAACCTCAATTTTATAAATTTTTTAATTTCTACCAAAAACCCCTAATTTCTACCATGAAGTTCATAGATTAACGTTAAAAATCAATAGGTGATTATCGAAATACATCAAAAATAGTTAAAAATCACTAACCAATGAAGTTGGGATGATAATCTCCTTAAAATCCTCTCTAGTCCGAGCTCTAGCTTTCAAAAATGGCATTGAATGAATAAATTCCGACTTTCAGCTATTAAAATAACTAGGCGTCAGGTGTTCTTTGCGTTCACTAAGCACCCGCCATGTTCGCGAAGTATGGCCCAATTTCCTTCGCGGTCGCAAAGTCTACATCGCGTTTGCGAAGGCTTATTATCCAATCTGCCTTCGTATTCGTGTCCCCAAGGTCCGTGTTCACGATGACGACCCCTACCATCCCCCCAGGTCATCCCCAAAGCTTCACGTTCGTGAGTGGCAAACCGTGTTCGCGAAGGGTAATGCACCGTATACTTCGCGTTCACGAAAAGTAACCACCCCTAGCCCAAAATTTCCCCTTTGCGATCATGGTAGAGGCTTCACGATCGCGATAGAGGCTTCGCGATCGCGAAGCACTGGACACCAGAAGCAAAAACCAGCAGTTCCAACAAGTTCAAAAATAGTCCGAAATAAATCTAAAACTCACGCAAACCACTCGGCTCCAAACCGAACATGCACACAAGTGTAATAACATCATATAAACTTGCTCGCTACCTCAAATTATCAAAATAACATCAAATAATGAGAATTGATCATCAAAACTCAAGTTTTCAACTTGAAAACTCATTTTTAAAATCTTTCACATAATGTGCCAAAACGCGCTTGGGTCGTCCCGGACCCTAACCAAACGTGAGTACAACTCCAAAAATATCATACAAACCTATCAGAATTTTCAATACACCGATCCAAGGTCGTTTACTAAGAAAGTTGACGTGGTCAACTCAAGTTATTTTTAAAGCCAAAATCACATTTTCTTTTAAATTAACGTAAAAGCTTTTCGAAAAATGATACAAACCATGTACACAAGTCATATAACATCTAATGAAGCTATGGGAGGTTTTGAAACACAAAAATAAGGGTTAGTATCCAAAACAACCTATCGGATCGTCACATGCTCTTAAAAACCTAGGGGTCCATTAGGTTTCTTGGTGGCTACTCTACCCGAAACCTTAACGTGGAGGCTACTCCATCCAAATCCCTACCTCACATTTATAAAAGGAGTCACATATTCACTTCGAAAGTATCTCAAAAATTTCATAAACTCACGAAATACTCACAAAAAGATCAAGAAGAGGCACGATACTTCTGACAATCAAATAGTTCAAGAAGATCCACAACATCCTTGCATGGAGATCAAATACATTTTACCTTCGAGAAATATGCTGCTCCAACCCTCGAGTCACAAAGATAATCAGGCCAGAAGAATCAAGAGAACAAACAGAATTGTATCCATATTATTTATCAATAAAATTATATTTTTTCATATTTATATTATGATTGCAGTTTATGAGTTGTCACACCTCCGTTTTCCCGAGGGGATAAAGAATTTTTTCAATTAAAGTGACATTATCAAAATGAGATTATTTAATTAATCAGAGTAGCCACTTGGAATAATTTATGGTGTCTCAATTCACCAGTTCATTTAAAATCCCAAATCGAGGAAGTTTTGACCCTATTTTTACAGTCTGCAAAATACAAAAAATCGGGTAAGGAACTTTGTTAACCTAGGAGAAGGTGTGAGACACACCCGAATTTCGTGGTTTTAGCACGCTTGCTCAACTGTTAATAATTGACCTAATTATCTGATTAATTACGTGTTTAAAATATTTTATGCATTTTTTACTTTCTAACTTTTACTTATTTTAAATTTGTTTGAACAAGTCACGATTGTCGCGCACTCGTTTGTTTTGTACATATCGCAAACCACGTCACAGGAACCGTACCCACGATCTACAACATGCTTATTTTTATTACTATTCGAAGTTATGGTCGGGTCACATGAAATACACACCCGAATTTGGATTTATGTATCGTAACTATGCCACGAGAACCGTACCCACAGTCACGAGAATTTATTTATGCGCCTAAAAATTTTCTACCCAAGTTAATGGCCTAAACATGCTCGTAGCGATTTGAATAAAAATATAAAATCAATTAAAGATATCTAAATCCAAATTATCCTTCACATTTTATGTCCAGACCCTCGACCTAAGGAACCATGATAAAACAAAAAAATAAATCAAGACGTTCGTAAGTTCAAGTCCCTACGGTCCAATTCTCATTAATTCATGATGATTCCCCAATGAACCAATACTTGTCTCAAATAATAAATTAACGCCCACCTAATTGAATTTAATTATAGAAAAGGACAGATGATTTGTATTAGTAGTTAAAATGACAATTATTTACTAATTGGATGAAATATCTCCTTCTAGTGACTGAATCTCAACAAGCAATTATCAAACATTCAAGCTAATCACAACATATGTCAATTAGTTCATATATCCTCAACAATCATATATTTGATTAAAAAAAATATAATAACAGAGAAGGGATTAGAATGGACTTTTAGTCGAGATTTCTTCTCCGATTAAATGACAGAATCTTAAAAATCATATAGATATGCTCTATTTGAAAAGTGCAAAATAAGAATATCCAGCGACGGACTTTAGATAAAAAATGAACTGAAATTCCCAAAATTGAACCGCACCAGAACCTTTGACCGCACCACCTCGACAATCTTTATTTTAGAACCACAGACGGTATCTCCAATCTTGAGACGAAACTTAATTGTTTCCTCTAGTTTTTCAATTTTTATCGATTCCTTCCTATGTGTGTGTCTCTTTTTTTTAGAAGTATTTGATTTGGGAAATTGGGGGTGGCAGAGGTGTGTCCCTTTGGTGGGGTGCGGCTGCTACTTTTTTTTTTTTTTTTTTTTTTTATCTTTTGGGATTGTAGGAATTAGGTTAGGTTTCTATAATTAAGGATTTTATATGGAGGTGGCAAGGGATGATAACCATTGGATTAGAAGGAAATAGATAGCTAAAATTAAATCTTGCATTTTAAGTGGAGAGTGGGCTAATGGGTTGGGAAGAATGGGCCGAAGACATAGTTTGATTATCCTTTAGTTCTTTCGAGAGTGGAGATATTGGTGCCGGCGCTACATTACGTACCACGAACACTTCCCTTGCCGCGTGTTGTTCTAAATAGTTTTATGTCAAAATTTTTATCATTTGGTGGAGGGTGGATGGTGCTGCTCTCATGTAGTGTATCCTTGGTCGCCTGGATAAGGCGTTGTATTTCATGTCTTCTTCAATGACATGGAATTTGACATTTCGGGTCATGCCAACCATGCTGACTGGGAGAGTGATCTCTCCTTTCGTTGTTTCGATCGCCGTGTTGAATCCGTTAAGGACTCAAGAGGCGGGCATGATTTAGTCTAGCAGTTCGATCTGCTCTATTACCCTTGACCTGGTAATGTTGGCCGAGCTACCTGGATCCACGAGCACATGTTTTATTCGAAATGAATTAACGAGGAAAGAGGTTATCGGAGTGCCGTTATGAGGTTGGGACGAGGTTTTGGATTCCTCCTCGCTGAATACGAGGGCATCTTTGGGTACGTATCCCNCCCAAATATCATGTGTATAACATGTTGTGGCTCATTTGCTTTGTTCTTCTTGGCCGTGCGTATTATGTAGTTCACATACTAAGTTGTGATTCCTCTGGGAAGGATTCGATTGTATAGGCCTGGGCCACTTGGCATCTCTGATTTTACTGATGGCGAACATGATATCCAATACATCGATGTTGAAGTTGTATTCCGACAAGTGAGGTGCACCCATTGGCCCTGCGTTCTTATCAAATCTGGCTCTGTTGATGAGTCCTCGAGGATCCTGTCCTCGATCTATTCTCTGATCATTGCGAGGTAGGTTGAGCCTCGGGGCATTCCTCCTATCTTTGGGGTACGACAAGACCTCTCTTTGTTCGGTTTCGACTCCTTTGCCAGGAGTCTGCTCAGATATACTGAGCCCGAGAGGTCTCCCATCTGGTCATCCTCGACCCTGATCTTTGACTGATAATGATTGTGGACGTCCGGCCAGGTTACGGAGGGATACTCGATCAGATTCTCTTTCAGCTGCCTTGAGGCAACTGAGCTTCGTTCATTCAGGCCTTGAGTGAAGGCCTGTACCGCTCAGTCGTCGGAGACCAGGGGTAGTTCCATTCGTTCCATTTGGAAGCGAGATACGAATTCTCGCAGCATATCATTCTCCCTCTACTTAATCTTGAATACGTCGGACTTCCTTGTTGCTACTTTGATGGCACCGACGTGTGCCTTTATGAAGGAGTCTTCCAGCATGGCAAATAAGTCTATGGAGTTGGGAGCTAGGTTGTGATACCACATCATGGTCCCCTTCAAGAGCGTTTCTCCGAACTTCTTCAATAAGACGGACTCGATCTCATCGTCTTTTATGTTGTTGCCCTTTACTGCGCACGTATATGCAGTAACGGGTTCATTGAGGTCTGAGATACCGTTGTACTTTGGGAGTTCCGGCATTCTGTACTTCTTTGGAATGGGTTTCGAATCCGCTTCCTCTAGGAACGGCCATTGCACAAACTTCTTTGAATCTACATCTTTCAGGACCGGGGGTGCGCCCGAGATTTGGTCGACCCAGAAGTTATAGGTTTCGATCTTCTTATAGTTGGCTGCTATCATTTTCTCGCCCGACTTGATCATTTTGGCGAGGTCCTCGAGCATTTTTACGATGGTAGGATCGGCTACCGATCCGTTGTTGCTCGAGCTCTCCGGTACCTGTTTGGAGGGGGAGTAGCATCCAGTGCTATTGTGCTGGGAGTCTTCGGGTGGCTTTGCAGCTGAGCAATAGCCAGCTATTGTGCCTGCAACATTTCAAAAATAACATGAAGGCTAACTTCCCATTCTTCCCGAGCTGGGGTTTTTGGGCTTCCTGTTGGTCGCCTTGTTGTATGCTTCTGTTGGTGTGTGAGGTTTTGTCGACTCGCTATGCATCTTGCGAACCCGCATCCGCTAGAATTGGTCCAGGTGCATTGTTGAGGTTCTGTGGTGGCGCACCAACGATTGGAACAACCATACCATTTTCTCCGTGGTTTTCAAGGTTGTTGTTCTCAACTCTGTTTACTGAGCCAGACATTTTAACCTGAAATCGAAGATCTTCGACAAGAAAATGTGTGAAAGATTACTTGCGTTGTGTGACAAAACCAGCAAGAAAATAATTTCTATTAATTTTAGCCCCACTGTGGGCGCCAAACTATTTATCGAGAAAATGGTAATAACAATTAAATTTATTGATAGGACTCTAAAAATACGTGATCTATTTTTATGCTAGTTGTTAAGCAGTTGATGCTAGGTATGTGAAGTTTAAAGATGAGATACGAGCTAAAGTAGAGTTATAACCAATCCGAGGGGTTAGCTATTCGGGCCTCGGACTGACCGGTGAGGGGCCTCGAGGTCGATGCCTAGGCTCGGGCTCGAGCTATCGGGGATAATCGGGAAAGGGCTAACAGGTACGATATAATTAAGGGAGGCTCTTCATGCCCAACAACAAGCAATAAATGAAGAACAAGTATGAAGTCCAGAAATAAGAGCAAGAATATCGAAGGAATATATTAGAGAGAAAAGAGAGAAAGAGTTGTTATTTATCTTGTGCAGAATAGTTGGAGCAACAGCATCCCCTTACAAAATGGTAAGGATCCCCTTTATATAGGAGGAGAATCCCATCATAGTACAAAATACATTAATTTCAAAGGTATGGAGATGGGATAGCTAGACGTGACACCTTGAGACAAGTTCCGGGCAGGCCGACTTTGTTAGACTTAGTCGCGTGCCTTGGGAATTCCCCATTTTTATTCTAACCTCAATCGACATTCCCTTTAGGTTGGGCCTCGATGAGCTCCGAGGGAGGGAACTCGGTCACAGCTTCGCGTCCTCGAGGTCTCGAGGTATTCTTCCGAAATGAACTAATAGCAAGAAATTGGGCCCCCTTATTTCGCCACATACAAAACTAATTATCAAGAGCAAATGGAGCAAGCAAATAGTAAGACATCATCAAAACGTAGCAATGAAGCATTAACATTTAACAAAACAGAGCAACAACAAACTAATAAAATAACAAAAGCATGATATCAAGAAAAAAACAACAGAAGGAAAGAAGAAATTGACCTCAAAACGCCAGACGAAACTCGAACCGGAAACCAATAGACAGTACCTCGACGTACGACTAAAAAGAGCCCCTAGACAACGATCACCGACGACCTCGAAGCTCTCCGAGAAACTCAAACTAAACCTGGACGAAACTGAACTCCGGCTGGGTTTGATGTTGTTTTTCGCTATTTTTTTTAGATGAGTTTTGGATTGAAACAGTAGTATGTTGGAGATTGTTTGGCTAGAATTTTGGTATGAAGGAATGGGCTATTTAAGGGTGCTAAAAGGACAGTGTTACAACTATGTTTCCATAGCTTTTCAGAGCTAAAATACTTACTGTTTTTGCCATTCCTCCTCTTACTTCTCTTTGTGCGTGTGTCTTTAGGTCAGTGGCTGTTTGTGATGAAATCACGGTAGAGAGGAAGCAATTTTATGATGTGAATTACTCCCTGCTACGGCGCTGCTCAATGAACTCCTATCCCTTATGTTTTTCCCCTTTTTCTTGCTCTCGTTTTTTTCCTTAATTTCTAGCCCTCCCATTTTTTAATCTTGGAGAAGATGAACTGATTAGTTCTCTATTAATCTTATTCTTTTATTTCTCTAATTTGATAGCTTGGAACTGAAGCAGAAGGGACAATGGGTTGCAGTGATCTTTTTGTGGGGGGTCCTTGTTGCTAGGTCTCTTTATCCTTTTCTTCTTCTTTTTCTCTTTTATTTTCTTTTTCTTCTTTTTCTCTTTTTCTTTTTCTTTTATAGTTCCTAACTCTATTTTTGATTCCAAAAGAGGGGTATGAAACAAAATAAATTAGGACTCAAAAGGGGTAGCAAAAGATAAAAGTGTTTGGGTAGCAGAATAAAATGCCTTCGTCATACCAAACTTTATAAATGCCAAGTACAAATATGCAATTTAAGATAAGCAAAGAAATCGTACATAGTATCTATTGATGGCATCAACACAAACAAAAGTGCCAATAGGCAATACCTTTGTCCTGATGAATGACCCTTGCCAATTCGAAACAGACTTGACTCAACCTTATCTCGATGTGGAAGAATGCATTTCAACACTGACTGATCTACCTCAAACTACTTGAGAGACATTCCTTTGTTGTATGCTCTCATCAACCACTTGATTTCCCAGACCAGCTGCCTCAGTTTCACTCAATTCAAGCTTCAAGTTATCTCAGAATGCGTGAATCTTTATTTGTTTCCTCAAATGCATTTTTTATCATATTCAGAACTATGTTTCATTATTCCATAATTAGATTGGCTTTTAAGATCTGGCTAAAAACTCTGCATGCATGTCATGTCATGTCACTAGAACTGGACTGAAGAGAACTATATAAAAGAAAATAACTAAACGAAGACTACAAATAATAGAAAAACAAAATCTCATTTGACCAAAGGATGGAATGGTTTGAACAACAGAATAAAATCTATATTAAGGCCTTGAAACAACCCTAGATGGAATACTTAGAGACACAAAACTAACTAACAAGACTCCTAGAGATTGGCAAAAGAGGATAGAAATGTTTGAATCACTAGAACAATCAAGATAAAATCTAGGTTACACCCCTGAAATAACCAGATAGTAGAAAAGATGTCAAAATGAACTACCAAGACTCCCTCTCGATGAAGAAATGAGGTGCTTTCTAATTACCAAACTAGAGATCTTAGCCACTGAGTTGCACATCAAAATTACTGGGACCTTGACCAACTTCAATCACATTATCTTCACCACGTGGTTCATTGAATCCTTTGAACAACCCTTCCTCAGCGCTAACTGTTGAATTAACGACTGAACCCCTAAGAGATCTTGCCGCAAATGCCTCACCAAAGGACTTGAAATAACCTGCACATTCATTGTCATTGCAAACCATCCCAACAATTTGTGCGTTGTCAAGTACCTGTAGAGGATTATGTGTGACACTTGGGGTATTACTGCCTTGGACCACACTTATCCCTTCTTGAATCATTCTTTCTATCGCCCTTTTCAAAGCACGACAATCTTCAATGCTATGCCCTTGGACACTAGAGTGGTACATGCACCGTACAACATGATCAAAACCTTTTGCATATGGGTCCGGAGTATAGCAGAGGAGTAGCTCAATCAGGCTAAAATATTTTAACTTTTCAAACAAGCTTGTGTAGGATTCCCCGATTGGCGTAAAACTATTTCTCTACCTGTGTTCCCCTCCATATTGTTGGATGTTCAAAAATGTTATGAAGGTAAGACTGCATTATGCGGTGCTGGCGCTTGCCAAAAGAAGTGACCTAGTGGTTGGATAGATGATCGGGCGTTGTTTGGAGGATAATACTAAGGTAGATTATGTGGAGCTCGGGGATAGGTTTGGCGTTGGGGTTGAGGCTGAGTATATTGGTGAGCCAGACCCGTTGGGCTATGCCGTGATCCTGAGACAACCATAGCAATATCATCCTTTTTCTTCTGACCCGACAAGCTTCCTGTGTCGTTCTGAATTGCTTGTGTTGTGGCTTTTAAGGCAGAATAGCTCATGATCTTGCTTGACTTCAACCCATCTTATACCATTTCTCCCATTTTTACCACATCATTAAAAGGCTTACCCACAACTAAGATCAAATGCCTAAAGTAAGTAGGCTCTGGATCTTGAAGAAAGTACTCAACCATCTCGGCTTCTTCTATCGGGGGATTGACTCGGGCAGCTTGATCTTTCCATCTGAGCCCATATTCCCTAAAGCTTTCATCAGGCTTCTTTTCCATATTGGTGAGGGACATGCGATTTGGGACAATTTCTATATTGTAATGAAAGTTCCAGGAAAAATCTTGAGCCATATCGTCTCATGTGTTCCAATTGCTAGCGTCTTGGCGGGTGTACCACTCCAGAGCTGCCCAACTCAGACTCTGACTAAAATACGCCCTCAATAATTTGTCCTTCCCACTAGCGCCTCTCATCTTACTGCAGTAGCCTTTCAAATGGGCCATGGGATCTCCATGTCTATCATATAAATCAAATTTTAGTATCTTAAACCTAGCAGGCAGTTGGACATCAAGAAACAAGCACAAATCTTTGTAAGATACGCTCACCTGGCTCCCTATCCCTTGCATATTTCTTAAAGACTGCTCTAAGATTTTCACCTTCCTGGATATCTCATCTTGCTCCACTATCTTAGCAGGCTTTTCAGTTTCACCGGGAGGCTCAAAATAAGGAGTGTAAAAGTATGGATCCGAGACCTTGAAAGTTGGTTCTGGAGCATAGTGTTAGAATTGGGGACTTTGAACACAGTCTCGCTAGAGGATCGAGGAAGAGTAGCTGGTGGAGGAGCTACAAAAACATGAGTGGTCAAAGGAGCAGAATATGAGGTACTTTTGGTGGGTGGAGTGTGAAAAGGTTGTGGGGAGATATCAACAACAGTGGGAATCTGGATTCGTGATAGTGGCAGAATGGTGACGCGATTTTCAGTGTAGTTAGTGGGAAACAATTGTGGAGGACGCCCACTAATCTAGACTTGGTATATTTCGGCCATCTGTCCTTTCAATCTTAGGACCTCTTATTTCAACTCAGATTTTGATTCAACAATCTCCTTAGGCGGATCGAGAACACCTGTGTCCAAGTCTGTGCTAGCCATGGGTAGCTTGCTCTTTGACCTTGTGTTGAACGGATAACTCGCTAGAATACCACAAACTAACCACTTTCTTTTATGATAACAATTAAAGTACCAAAAAGGATCAAAACAAAGCAACTATGTTAGCGTTAGGGCATGTATCAGATAAAAATATCACATTGCATACAATGCACCTAGCAATAATTAACGGTTCTAGAATGACTTCAAGGGTCACAAGGTCATTTGGCATTATCCCAATTTTGTTCATTTCAATCTTCTCTTTTCTTTCTTTTCTAGCACTTCTTGGCTTGCTCATTTTCTTTCCTCTCTTTTCTTTTCTTATTATCACTCTTTCTTTCCTCTCATTTCTCACATCCCATAACTTCATTCTCTCTCTTTCTCTTGTTTTAAAAAAAATAATGATTCGATCAAACCCTATGTAGGTTGCCTACGTATCATGTTCCACATAAATCAGACCAAGCATAGTTCTAGAAAAGTAATGGACAAAATAAACTAAAAAACAAAAATCCTTTTGGATTTTCATTTATAAATATTTTTTTCAAATACAAATGGGAAGTACGATGACAAAAGACTCGGCAAACTCTTACAGCACCTAAAAGACTCAAAACTACTAGACAAGATAAGAAAGTAAAAGGCAACATGAAAACAGACTTAAAATATAAAAAGTCTCTTCAAACAAGCTCCCAAATGCGATGGTCCTGGGTATCTATCATGCTCGAGCTCTGGTATATGGATCCATACTTGAATGAGAAAAATAAGACCAAATAGAATAGTGACTCAAGACACTATGCGACGCCACGACACCTTCTATTGGACACATGCAAGGCATGATTAAGGCTATTTTTACAAAATGACCTACGTGGCCAAAATATGGCTAGAATGCAAACTCAACAAAGGTAACCTAAGACATGAAAAATTACTTTGCAGTAATGACCCATTTTATAGAAATGGGCTATGTGGCCAAAAAAATGGCTAGCAGTGCAAACTCAACAAAATGGACCTTAAACAGAGAGCACACCTTGTTGTGGACTTATGACTCTTATACATGGGCTATTGAACCACTTTTGCGAAAATGATCCCATATTACAAGAACGACTAATGTGGCCAAAAGTGGCTAGACATGTAAATTCAACATGGAGAGGCCTTAAAGTAAGGAGATAGCAAATTGTGGATTCAAGACTCTCCAAAACAGTTCAACAAACCACTTTGCAAAAATAACCCTATTTTCCGAAGAAGGCCGATGTGGCCAAAAGTGGCTAGGCATGCAAGATTTGGCTACGACCCCCGAAGTCATGAACCTAAGACTCACTAGGAAGACTGGACCCTATGTGGGATGCCTACGTATCCCGCCCCGAGCGACGAGAATCAGGTATGCATAGTTCGGGGGGATCAGATAATGGGAGAGAATTTGAAAAAAACAACTCATTTGGAGAAAATATATTTTTTGTCTTTTTTTTTTGAAAATGATGGAAAATGTAAAAGCTTTTTGGATTTTTTCTTTTTTTTTTAAATTTTTGGGAAAATCGTGAAAGAAAAATGTGAGTGGGCTCTACTTCATTTTATATTTCAACATCTTTTCTTCTCATTTGTACCCAACAAATATTGGTCCACCAAATGACCTTTGTACCCTTAAAAAATGCAGCATGTAGCACACAAGGATGATTAAATGTCTTCTTAGGTCACAGACCCACTTTGACATAATTTGGATAGGCCTTCTACAAAGGGACACGGTACCTGGGACCGAGCAGTACTAGATCTAAATGACATGATGCAAATAAGAATGACCTAAAGGCTGACCTAAATTTGGGGTTCACTAGACAAGGCAATTCAGGGTGGCACGTGGTTGATGACGGCTGCTCTAGCTGTCCGCCCACTCCACGCTCCCATGTCACCCCCCTAAACACACGGGTGACTCATGAAAAGGCCGTGTATGCTCAAACGTACTCTGGGAGACTTGTTGCAGAAAGAAGACCCGTGGTTATGCAAATGATGACAATTTATAAAGCAGTAACATATAAGGAAAAGTGATAAACAAATAACCAACAAAATAAGAAATAAGACAAA